GTTAACTTATTCTTTGGACTTTAATGTATTCATAACTTACCACTCCCATTCCTAGCTCCACCCCTTGTATATATAAGGAGCCACCCTCACCATTCTCGCTGCTTCTACCTTGAATATTCAGTGAATATAGAATGCCTATCATAATTAAAAAGAAATATATTTAAAGCTCTAACTCCTATTATCTTTATTGAGTCTGATCCTGAAAATATTGCAACATAAACCATTAACATTCTTTGTTCTCTACGGCTGTGGTCAGGTTTGCAGTTCAAAATAACAGAGGGGCATTTTGCTGAGCTCAGAGCTACCATCATAATCTGTTTGACTGTTATTGCCAGGAACTGCATGATTTCATTTTGAATTGTTTTTCCAATTCAAGTATGCAGGTTTTCTTGGCCAGTGGCTTTTCTTAGATGCTCCCAAGTTCATCATCAAGGTCAGCTTCATTTCAAAAACTTAAGGGTGTCTCCATTGCTCAGTATATACAGCTGAATTTTAATGTCATGAAGGGCTGGTTTTAGTAGCAAGCATTTTTTACAGTGGCAGTGAATGTTTTCAGAACAACTCTCTTTAATGCTGAGATCAAACAATTCTTTCACCCCAAAAGCAGGGGTGAAATTCACTTACCTTCCCTACCGGTTCGTAAATGTGCAGAGGGCTTAAAATCATTGTAAAAAAAGCGATGTCATGCTGGCCGTGCGAGTGGGTGGAGCCTCCTGCAGCCACCGCTACCAGTTTGCCTGATCCGGATAGAACCGGCTGAATTTCACCCCTGCTCAAAAGGCAAGACAAGAAACAATGGTTGGAAATTAACCAAGGATAGAAGCATCCTAGAAGTAAGGACAAATTTCCTAACAGTGAGAGAAATTAAGCAATGGAATAGCTTGCTTTCAGAAGGTGTGGATGCTCCATCACCGAAGGTTTTCAAAAAGAGACTAGACAACCATTTGTCTGAAATGATATAGAGTCTCCTGCTCAAGCAGGAGGTTGGACTAGAAGACCTCCAAAGTCCCTTCCAACTCTATTATTCTATGTTCTATGTTTTCTGAGATTTGCTGCTTTCTCACAGTTTGCCAGATTTTTCTAATCTTTTATCCCTGTGGAACTCCATGTGGCTGGAGTTTGCAACAAAATCAGTGTGCAACATTCCGGATTCAGGTGTGTGTGAGTTATGAGTTAATATGAGTTATCAGGGGGGTTTCATGCTGTCAGGATGTTGGATAAAAATGTTCTATTTTCATTGCCTTTGGAGAACACGAACATTTTCACTTTGTGTGGCCGATGCAGGTGAAAAATATCCTACAAGTTCTTGAATCATCAGAGCTTAAGAAATAAAAATGGTTGTTTCTTGCGTTTCTACAATCCTCTTCCGTTATCTTCAATTTTCTTCCAAGGATGTGTATATAAGATACCGATATAAATCTATTTGAGTTATGGGTGCTGCAGAAGCTGCCAAATTACCTGGAACATTACATGTCTCCTCACCATTCATTTCCTCTCTGGGGATGGGAAGCTCATTGTGCATATTTGTGTCAATGAATCTCAAGGGAGCTCCTTCCTGCTTAGGAAGAAAATAACTTCCTTCCTGCCTTTCTTTTTTCTAAACGCTGCCCCAAATGGGCATTTCCTTCCTGTGCTCTTAGGTGACTGGTATTCTGTACAATGGCTCTGAACACTAAACTGAGGAGACAAATAACCAAGACCTGAACAAGGGAAGCCATTAAGTTCTTAAGAATCTTAAGAATCACTGTCTATTCTCCCTTAGATCAGGGGTGGGCAACTATGGCCCTTTTATGACTTGTGGACTTCAACTCCCAGAATTCCTGAGCCAGCCATGTTAGCTCAGGAATTCTGGGAATTGAAGTCCACAAGTCATAAAAGGGCCATAGTTGCCCACCCCTGCCTTAGTTGGATTCAGAGAAGCAGCAGAAAGCAAGAAGTCCCTCAAGATGGTTGTTGTGGCCCACCAGCGGCCAGCAGATCTGGCAGCAGATTCGGACAGTGAGGAGGTTGGGGAGGAACATGGGCCAGTCTTGGGAGTCTGGGGAAAGCTCTGATGAGGGCTTTGTGTCAGAGCAGAGAGGGGGCCAAGGCTGGATGCCAATTATCAGCTGCCTTCAGAGCAGACATCAGTGAGGCAGACGAACAGATGGAGCCTGTTCCCAGTGTGCACATGCCAGACGAAGGGAACAGCTAAAGAACAAGGGTCGACTTGGGAGTAAGACTGCAGGTGGACAATGAATGGCCTCTCCCAGAGGGAATAAAAGAGGAGCGAAAGGGGAGTGGAGTTTGCAGAAGACAATTAGTTCATTACTGCATTCTTGCCAAGTATTGCGGCGTCTGAAAGATATCAGCCTGGCCATTCTCCAAGCCTAATAAAGGTCGGTAATTGTGAACTATCTTGAAAGACTGTGGGAGAAGAAAGACTTTGCTGGAGAGGAATTCACTGTAAATTAAATAAAGGGTTTTTTTGTCGGGACAAGGGAGTCTGCTTCGTGGTTTGGTCAGAACAATGGTGTTCACAGGCCTTATTATGTGTAATGTTTGTATGTCAGGTGAGCAAAGATGCTTTGGAACCAGAGTGACCACTAACAGGTACAACATAGAAGCCAACAGAGGATTTTAACAGAGGATCCTTGTTCCCTTCAGATCTGAATGCTCCCCATTCCTAGTCCATATTCAAGGGATGGTAGAGATGTACCATTGGGTTCTTCTTTCTCTCTGCTCGCCTCCCAACTCTTGCTGCTTTCTGTTATTCTCCTCTGGTCTCTTCCATGCCTGTTATGTCTCCTACGCTCTTCTTCTCACATCTCTATTGCTCTGAGGCAAAAAGTGTATGTACGCGCCAGCAGGAAACAGTCTGGCTTTAGTGTTGCCACTCCCTCATCCTGCACAAGAGGCAGTTGCCTCAGTTCACCCCGTGGTCAGGTCAGCCTTGTCAGACAGTCCTCTCACCAGACAGGGCAAGATTGGAGGCACAACTCCAAGGCCACACCCAAGAGGACTGTCTGCAAATGCTATATGGGAGTTGGCACAAGCCAGTTAGTGCACACTGCTGTTTAAGAAGTGGCCACTCTATGGCCATTAGCCTAAATCTCAGAATAATTGTACCAACAGAAGCAGTGTCTGCTATGTGTACCTCTGTCCAACTTGTTAACCCCAATGGAGCAGCTTTTAGCAATAGCAATAGCACTTAGACTTATATACTGCTTCACTGTGCTTTACAATTAAGCGGTTTAAAGAGTCAGCCTATTGCCCCCAACAATCTGGGTCCTCATTTTACCCACCTTGGAAGGATGGAAGGCTGAGTCAACCTTGAGCATGGTGAGATTCGAACTGCCAAATTGCAGACAGCTGGCAGTCAGCAGAAATAGCCCAGAAATAGTACTGCAGTCTAACCACTGCGCCACCGTGGGTTTAATCTATTCTGAATTTTAGGTTCTAATCTGTTTTAGGTCCTAATCTATTCTGAATTCTCCAGAACTCAGAAGAGATCTGTGTCAAATCTTCCTCTTGTTCCTTCCAAGGGAACAAGAGAGCAGAGGTGGTGGCTTCTCTTTCTCCAAAAGCTTGTTCTCCTCAGAGAATGACATGAGCCCACAACATCCAGCCTCTACAAAACCCTTGCCATTGTCCGTGTTGGCTAAGGCCCATGGGAACCAAATGTTTTGAGGATATCAAACTGCTATTATGCATCCAGAGGGAAGAAGACAAGGAAGCATTAGTCACTTGTTCTTCTAAGTGCCACCAACTCATAAACTTCAGGCAGGAAGGGGAAATGGAAGAGCCCAATCTAGGAACCACTTGGAAAATGGGGGCTTAAATTTCTCTTCCACTCCTCAATCTTGAGGCCGATGATCTCCTCTGTGGTGACCTATCTTACTTACAGAATCAGGAGATCCCCAAGCAACTCAAATCTGGGCTACCCCTAGAATTCAAGGCCAGTGGATCAAAGCCAAGACCCAGTCTTGGAGAAGAGAAGATGCTTCTCTTCCAACTCCAACTTTGCTTTGGAGCAATGGGGGAGGGGCAAAGAAAGACAAACTCAGTTTGGGATGTGGGAGCTCGGCCAGGTGTCTGAACTTGCACCCGAAGGCCAGACAAGGAATAGTGGATGGAAACTGACCAAGGAGAGATTCAACCTAGAAATGAGGAGGGACTTTCTGACAGTGAGAACAATCAACCGATGAAACAGAAGTTGCCTTCCGAAGTTGTGGGAGTTTCATCACTTGAGACTTTCAAGAAAAGACTGGGCTGACATTCATCAGAAATGGTGTAGAGTCTCCTGCTTGAGCAGGGGGTTGGACTAGATGACCTACAAGGTCCCTTCCAACTCTGTTAATCTGTTAAATCTGTTAAACTTGTCCCTCCAACCTGGTGCCCAAAGCTCCATCACTCGGTCCTGGAGAGAGAGAGAGAGAGAGGGAGAGAGAGATCTTTAACTGCTCCATCTTTGTTGCGTCCCTCAACTTTGAAGTTTCAGGCTGGCCTGCCAGGAGGGGGAATCTGCTGGCACAGGTTGCTCTCCAGAGGAGATCTTTTCTTTCTTTCTTTCTTTCTTTCTTTCTTTCTTTCTTTCTTTCTTTCTTTCTTTCTTTCTTTCTTTCTTCCTTCCTTCCTCCCTCCTTCCTTCTTTCTTTCTTTTCTTTCTTTTTCTTTCTCTCTCTCTCTCTCTCTCTCTCTCTCTCTCTCTCACGGGCCCCCTCCTCCCTACCCCCCACCATTCCTCGCAGCACCAATCCCGGCCCGCCGCGCCTCCTTCGGACTCAAAAAAAGAAAAAGAGAAAAAAATCACCGGTGCCTTTTCCTTCCCAAAGCAAATAAGAGAAGACAAAAAAGCGCTCCCGACCCATTGCTCTACTTCGGCCACCCCGGAATTGAGAGACACCAATTCTGGATCGCTCTCCGGCCAACTTCGCGAGAGACCTGGAAACCCACCCACCGACCCCCACCCCACTCCCCGTCCGGCCAGCCCCCAGAAGGGCAGCGCAGCTCGGCAACGGTAGAGGGCGAGGGGGGCGTCGTAGCCTTCGGCTCGCTCGCCAACCTTCTCTTCTTCCACCCCCCACCTCCCGCCCCACACATAAACACACCGCAGTGCGCGTGTGAAGGCAACTCCCCTCTTTCAGGAGCCCTTTTCTTGCCCGAGCGGCCGGCCGGTGGCGGTCGGGGAGAAGGGAGAGGTAGAGCGCGGCTAAAGCTCTCCGGATCTCGCTTTTGGACCCAAGTCGGCCAGGGGATCTCCCACCGCTTTTAAGCCCTTGCAGCCCATTCCAGCTGGAATCTTTTTTTTTTTTTTCCCCCTTTTCAAAAGTTTTCTCGACTTGCGCTTAAGAGACTTAGAGGCGAAAGGGAGAAAGCGGGTGCTCTGCTGGCTTGAAAGGGGGACCGTGGATCAGAAGACCCTCCATTGGCAAGAAGATTGGCGGTCGCCTTCCTTCTTTTTCTTTTTCTTTTTCTTTTTTTTTTTTTTCGTTTTAAAGACTTTTCATCTCCGCGCCAAGAATCCGCGATGCAAATGCTGGCGCCGTCCTTCCTCCTTTACGTGGGAGCCTGGGCCACTTTTTGGCCCCAGCAGCAGGGATCCGCCGCCGCCGCCGGCAGCCAGAGCGGGTCGATCAGAGCCTTGCGCGCCTCGAACCGGCGGCGAGATGGTGAGTTGTCTTCTTTCTTCACCTAGTCCTCACCGATGGGTGAAATTAGCCAGGCGGCCGCCAAAAGCTGAAGGTTGTGGAAGCGCGCCCCCTACAAGTTCTCCTGAGAGGTGCACTTCAACGGAGAGACCAAAAAAAAGAAAGAAAGAAAGAAAGAAAGAAAGAGGGGGAAAAGTGGTTAGCGTTGGAGGGCTGTGCGAACAACTTTTCTTCAACCCCACTCTTTATTTTTCGGATGGCCGTACAGCCAAATATTTCCCTACAGCCAGTATAAATGGTCACAGAAGTAATGCATGGTCTTTGGACCTGAGGTGATGGATTGAAACTTAATATACAGTACAGTGAGAAATTACACTCAGGTTGTGAAAAGCAAATACATACCCTGTAAAGTAAGGAATAGGTCTGGGTCCCATAAAAATAAACTGTTACTTTCAAGAAAAGAGGCCGATCTTCTGTTAGATGCCCAAGTAAGGACTCCTATAAAGGTGTGCATCTTTTCCCAGATCCATATTTACCCACGCTGCAGCAAATGTTGTAGGCACGGTTAGCGATCCAGAGGAATAACGCCTAGCAAATCCTGCCCATTAGAGAGACATCCAAAAAGAATGCATCTTGCTTAGCGTTTCAGGATAATTGGATAAGTGCATCCAGCTTTCCCAAAATCTTTTGGCAGGACCATTTCTTTCATTAATCTTTTGCATGGAATGATTGCTTTGGTAGGAAGATCAGAATGAAATCAAGGCAGAAATTGTGTCTGGTAACGCTAAATTAATTGACCTTTTAAAAACATGCTGGCAGCGTATATACATGCTTAGGCAAGACATAGCCTGCGAAAATCTTCCGGGAGAATAGTCTTTCCGCATCATGGATACACTCTGAAATGAGTTTATATCATATAGAAGTCCTTTACATATGAAAAAAAAAAAATCCATGATTATGAAAATCTGGCATTCTGTTCTTTAATCATGATAAGACAATGAAAAGTGTTATCACGGGAGTAACACCTGGGTAGTGGCTCAAACAACCGACACCTCTTGGATGTTTAAGACTTCCCACAACACATAAAAGATGAAGCAGTCAGTAGCCTGTGGTTATTTAAAGTGCAACTCCTCAGTTTTACTTACTGGTGGTTACTTATTACTTATTTCAGGTGGCAAAGCTGGAAAGTAGTGGTTTCAAGAGTTTCTTTCAAACCTGAAATGAGCTAGGCAGACCAATAACTGATTAATAAATGTGCCATTAAGTAGTTTTCTGCTCCTAATTACCAAATAGATATATTTTCTCAATGATGTTCTATTCTTGGTACTTCAGGTCTTCTGATACTGAACTGAGTCCATTCCCCTTGCTGTTAGTCATCCCGTTCTTCTCTTTCCTTTTAACTTTCTTAATATTGGAACCTTCTCTAGAGAGCTCAGTCTTCCGTTGATTTGTTCAATGATCCGTTGTCTTGTTTTCATGGCTGTTCACGATATTCTCAGAAGCCTTTTCAAGAGGCATCTACAGTTCAAGAAATAAACCGTAATTCTACTTGTAGATGACTCCTACTATGCACAATAGAATGCTATCTATATTACCAACCACAAGGTATAAAAGTGCAAGTAGGTTTACAAGCTTCTCAGAACACTTCAGCAGACAAGATGCTATTAAAAAACAAAGAACAAAAAAAAGGAGGCTGCGAAGAAGGTTAGATGATTGAGCTATTGAGTGTAAACTAATTTCTAAGTTCAGAAGGTTAGAAGTGTGCCCTCAAACTATCTTCTGGATGGGATAGTAGTTATTAAGGAGCAAAAGAAGTAATATTTCCTGGTTATGACAAAATGTTACATGATCCCTTTTCAGATAGACTCTTACCCATCAAAAATATTAATAGAGTTGTAAGTTATGTTATACATTTGGCATCAAAACATATATAGACATATTGGCACCTTTCAGGCTGCATCTTCTATTTTTGTGATCTCCAGAATCACACTGCTTGAAATTCATCATCCAAATTGAAACTTTCATCTGCAGCATGATAGTCTCTTATTCTTTCTACAATTTAGGACTTAAGATAGTGAACTTTTATGGCCTTCTAAGCCAGGTATGGCCATGATGAGAGCTGCCAATGTACAGGTACTCCTCCTGGACTTTCAACCAAAATTGGGACCAGGACATCTGTTGCTAATGATACAGTTGTTAAGTAAGTTGCATCCAATTTTACAACCTTTTTTGTAGTGATTGTTAAGTAACCATTAGTCATTAAGTGAATCACCCAATCGTTAAGCAAAGCTGGCTTCCTCCATTGGTTTTGCTTATCAGAAGTCACCTGGGAAGGTCTCAAGTGGTGATGGTTATGATCACATAACCCTGGGATTTTGCAGGCGTCATAAATACATGCCACTTGCCCTGCACCAAAATTGTAAATATGGGGATGCCATCAGGTCATAAATGTGAGGACTGGTCATAAGTCACTTTTTTCAGCACTGTTATATCTTTGAATGGTCACTACATGAATGGTTTTAAATCAAGAACTATCTGTAGTTTGTTTTAAAAAAGGACTATGGAAATTATCCAAAGCTTGTTGATCAAAAGGTCGGCAGATCAGTGGTTCGAATCCCTAGTGCTGCGTAACTGGGTGAGCTCCCGTTAGTTGTCCCAGCTTCTGCCAACCTAGCAGTTCGAAAGCACGTAAAAAATGCAAGTAGAAAAATAGGGACCACCTTTGGTGGGAAGGTAACAGCATTCCGTGCGCCTTTGGCGTTTAGTCATGCTGGCCACATGACCACTGAGACGTCTTCAGACAGCGCTGGCTCTTCGGTTTTGAAATGGAGATGAGCACCGCCCCCTAGAGTTGGGAATGACTAGCACATGTGTGTGAGGGGAACTGTTACCTTTACTGATGGAAATTATTGGAAAAAGAGTGAATCAGTGATTATTACTTCAGACATCAGGATAATATTAGAAGTGATTGATATTTCTTGATCCCTACCTGCTGGGAGAAATGGGCTCATTTTTGTGGGATAACTAATTCACTGCTGGTCTGGACTAGACAGGCCTCTGGTCTGATCCAGCAGGAGACTTGCTGCTATGTATGTTTCTTTGCCAAGTGTCCTTCATCATTCCATATTGCCCACTTGTCAAGAGATGTGAATTTTAGTCTACAGGAGTTCAACCTCCTCTCTATGGTCAAAAATAGAATCCTGGTGCAGAAAACTATCCCTATCACTGGGTGCCCAGAGATTTCATCTGTGGGCAATTATATTTCACTTGCAGATGGCATTCAACTGTCTTATTTAATAGCTAAGTATCAGGCAGAAAGCAAAAATTCAGAGTCAAGAACAGCTTAAATTGGTGCTAGAGAAATTCCTCCCCCTCCCTTGTTTTTTTTTTTTTTATATTTGCTTAAACTGAGGGAGGGAGTGATAGAAAGCAGCTCTGCATTCAAGATCCCCCCCCTCCCACTGCTAGATTGGCCCTCCCTGTTGCATTTCTGAATATTCAAATGCCAACACTTGGAATAAACTAACCTTACAACATAGGGTTTTTTTTCCCCCTCCTTGCAAATCTTCACGGAGATCTCTGCAGCTGCAGTTTTGTGGCCTCATAAGATTAAGATTTCTACTGATTCAAATGAAAGAAGAAGAAGAAGAAAAAAACCCACTGAATTTCTTTTGGTTAGGGAGGCGGGCAGTTTAAGTAGGAAAATGAACACAGAGGGGAATACAAGCCGTGAATATAAATTTTGCCCTCAGTTGTGTAAATATTTTTTTCCCAAAGGTTTACAGCTGCAAACAGCTGGACCCTTAACACTTCTCCTTAGCAGATGTTTACCAAGGGAAGTGCTTGAAGAAATAATAGCAAGGGAGTTCTTCCAGAGCTGCAGAAGGTACCTTTCCTTCAGTCAATCAGCTCCTAGTCTCTTTCTCTGATGTCATATTCTTGAAGGGTAGGGCTGACTCTGTGGTGAAATCCATTTTTTTTAAACTACTGGTTCTGTGGGCGTGGCTTGGTGGGTGTGGTGTGGCGTAGTGGTGGACATGGCTTGGTGGGCATGGCTTGGTGGTAGCAAAATCCCCATTCCCTCCCCACTCCTGGGGAAAGGATATTGCAAAATCTCCATTCCACCCCACTCCTGGGGGAAGGATACTGCAAAATCCCCATTCTCTCCCCACTCCTGGGAGAAGGATACTGCAAAATCCCCATTCCCTCCCCACTCCTGGGGGAAGGATACTGCAAAATCCCCATTCCCTCCCCACTCTGGGGGAAGGATACTGCAAAATCCCCATTCCCTCCCCACTCCTGGGGGAAGGATATTGCAAAATCCCCATTCCCTCCCCACTCCTGGGGGAAGGATATTGCAAAATCCCATTCCCTCCCCACTCCTGGGGGAAGGATATTGCAAAATCCCCATTCCACCCGACTCTGGGCCAGCCGGAGGTGGCATCTGCCGATTCCCTGAACTGCTCAAAATTTCCACTACAGGTTCTACAGAACCTGTCAGAACCTGCTGGATTTCACCCTTGGGCTGACTGGTTTTCCCCTCTGTTCCTATTTCCCAGCATTTCAACCTCCAGGCATTTAGTGATGCTCTCTAGTTTCTGGATGGAGGGTGTGTTTAGTCTTATTTGGAATTATCGCCCCAGGGCAACAGGAGCTAGTCCTGTGTTCTGCCAATTTCACCTGCTTATATTTCATCCAGCCTACTTAGGGCCTCAGGCGGAGGAAATTTGAACCTTCCTTCTTTTTCAGCTACAGCTTTTGAGACATGCTTTATCCCCTCCGCCCCCCACCCTTACACGATCAACCAGGAATTGCTGGCATACAATAATAGATGAGGGATCCTCCCCATCCCTTCTTTTTTTTAAAAAAATCTGCCCCCCAATTTACATTTTGTTTTATAAAGTTTGCCCTGACCTGAACATGTTCTAACATTACTCCTTGAATTACAGTGCCAAAGCAATATTCAGTAAAATATTCCAGGCTCATGTCCAGATTTCAAAAACCTTTGCTACTTTTAAAGA